TCTCCTGGATTTTGGGGTGAATTTTGGACTGATTTTGGGGTGAATTCTCCTGGATTTTGGGGTGAATTTTGGGCTGATTTTGGGGTGAATTTTGGACTGATTTTGGGGTGAATTCTCCTGGATTTTGGGGTGAATTTTGGGCTGATTTTGGGGTGAATTCTCCTGGATTTTGGGGTGAATTTTGGGCGGATTTTGGGGTGAATTCTCCTGGATTTTGGGGTGAATTTTGGGCGGATTTTGGGGTGAATTCTCCTGGATTTTGGGGTGATTTTGGGCGGATTTTGGGGTGAATTCTCACCGATTTGGGCCCTTCCCAGCTACGAGCGCTGCCTGCGGCTGCTGCTGGCCGAGCTGGCCCGGCCGGGCTCCCGCCTCGCGCTCATGGTGGCCACGCACAACGAGGAGTCGGCCCTGGCCGCGCTGCGGGGGTCAGGAAATGGCGATTATGGGGGATCGATTGGGGATCGATTGGGGATCGATTGGGGAAATTATTGGGGATCGATTGGGGATTGATTGGGGATCGATTGGGGATTGATTGGGGATCGATTGGGGAAATTATTGGGGATCGATTGGGGATCGATTGGGGATCGATTGGGGAAATTATTGGGGATCGATTGGGGATCGATTGGGGATCGATTGGGGAAATTATTGGGGATCGATTCGGGATTGATTGGGGATTGATTGGGGAAATTATTGGGGAAATTATTGGGGATTTATTGGGGATTTATTGGGGATCGATTGGGGATCGATTGGGGATTTATTGGGGAAATTATTGGGGATTTATTGGGGATTTATTGGGGATCGATTGGGGATCGATTGGGGATCGATTGGGGAAATTATTGGGGATTTATTGGGGATTTATTGGGGATTGATTGGGGATCGATTGGGGAAATTATTGGGGATCGATTGGGGATCGATTGGGGATCGATTGGGGAAATTATTGGGGATCAATTGGGGAAATTATTGGGGATTTATTGGGGGTTTATTGGGGATCGATTGGGGATCGATTGGGGAAATTATTGGGGATTTATTGGGGATTTATTGGGGATCGATTGGGGAAATTATTGGGGATCGATTCGGGATTGATTGGGGATTGATTGGGGATTGATTGGGGGGTTATTGGGGAAATTATTGGGGATTGATTGGGGATCGATTGGGGATCGATTGGGGAAATTATTGGGGATCGATTGAGAATTCATTGGGGATTGATTGGTGGTTTATTGGGGGTTTATTGGGGATTTATTGGGGATTGATTGGGGATCGATTGGGGATTTATTGGGGATTGATTGGGAATTCATTGGGGATCGATTGGGGATTGATTGGGGATGGATTGGGGATTGATTGGGGATTGATTGGGGATCGATTGGGGAAATTATTTGGGATCGATTGGGGATTGATTGGGGATCGATTGGGGATTGATTGGGGATTGATTGGGGATCGATTGGGGAAATTATTGGGGATTGACTGGGGATTGATTGGGAATCGATTGGGGAAATTATTGGGGGTTGATTGGGGATTGATTGGGGATTGATTGGGAATTTATTGGGGGTTTATTGGGGATTCATTGGGGATTTATTGGGGGTTTATTGGGAATTTATTGGGGATTTAAGGGGAATTTATTGGGGATTTATTGGGGATTCATTGGGGATTTATTGCAGATTGATTGGGGATTGATTGGGGATTTATTGGAGGTTTATGGGGGATTGATTGAGGATTGACTGGGGATTGATTGGGGAATTTAATGGGGATTTATTGGGAATTTATTGGGGATTTATTGGGGATTTATTGGGGATTTATTGGGG